AGGAGCTCCACCATGTTCCTGTTGAGCGCCACGCTGTTGGAGAAGGTCCGCGGCGCGGTGGTCAGCAGCCGGTGCAGGTCTTTGCCGGTGATTCCCAGCGTCATCAGGAAGGCGATGTTCTCCTCCAGGTTCTTGTTGTCGCTGGAACGGAAGAAGGACTCGGGCGAGCGCGAGAGGATCCCCACCACCTCGGCGTCGCTCTTGAAGACGTTCCTCCAGAGCCTCCAGCGCTCCTCCAGGTGCTCGCAGGAGCGGGTGATGGAGCGCGGGAAGCGCGAGATGATGCTAGCGATCGTCTCTTGATCCGCGCCTTTGCTCTTCAGGAAGAGCGCCAGGCCTTGTTCGTTAGTCAGGAGCTTCCTCAAGACACCCGGCTGCCGCTTGCGGGCCGAGGCGAGGTCCACGCCCATAACCGAGAGGTTCTCCAGGAGAGACTCGTTCTCTAGAGGAGGGTCGTGATTGGACGGTTTGGAGCTGCAGGGGCGGGACGTGACAGGAAGTGATGCACATCTGCAGACGGGCCGCAGGAAGTGCAGGATCTGCCTCTGGAACATCACTCGGCACACCTGAGAAGATAGTTTACTGTTGAAGAACCCATGATGTCTGGCGCCTAGCTTGTTTATTCGCACAGGATCCACGAGGGTTTAAAATGAATTCTGATTCTGTTATTGAGATGCTATTATAGTTATTTTTATATTTTCATTTTAACCTCATATGAGGACATTCTATTTCAGAGTATTTGTCTGAGACACAGTTTTTAGTCTGGATGTCCTGTGCAGAGCACACTCAGGGCTTTTCAGAGATACTAAATGATTGGATGTTTCACCGTGACCACTCCTTGGTCTTCAAAAATGTCTGATATTGATTTAGTGACACTTTAATGGAAATATGATAATATTTTGTAATTATCATTTAAATCTAATTTTTTAACTGTGTGTCATAAATCAACATCTCAGGAAAATGTTATGGGGTTTCAAATCAAAATATGACTTTCTGTTATGAAACCGGACGTTAATGTCATATGAGGACGCCGGGACTAAAAGCATGTTTATTACGCATTTTGGCACGACACAACAAATGAATAGAGAAAGAAATTATATTTCAATATTCCTATGAAATGTTATCTATTATTATGAAAATCTTGTCAATTATTTCTCCCATTATTGCACTTCTGTTTTCATTACATGTTACCCCAAAAACACATTAATATGCAAATTAGATTTAGTTTATAGATACATTATATATAATGAGAAAACCTGTTTATGGCCATTTTACACACATTTTGCATAAAGAAAAATGGTATATCAAAGCATTCTGTTATAACGGTTGAGAATTATCTTTATACAAAGTTTGGTAAAAAAAAAAAAAAAAATCCTGAATATAAAGATGTATTGATGATTTTTAAAAAATCTGTTGTTTTTGCCTATGCATGTTCATTCATGTCTTTTTATTTTTTATTTTTTTAATTGAGTCCCGATGTCCTCTACCGAGGATGTAGCATAACTTATGAATGAAATATAATTTTTAATTTTTTAATTTTTAATGCACTAAACAATGTAATGACATGAAAAAAAATACGAATTTCTTCCTAAAATGTTTTGCCGGGTCTCAAGAGGTTAAATTTTTTAAATATAAACATTTTTCATTTTTTTTATAAATTGTATTTCAGTTTTAGTTTGTTATTTTAGTACATGAAGTTAAACTAAATGAAAATGAGAAATGTTGCTGAAATAAAATAAGATTTTTAATATTTTAGTTTGAGTTACAAAACCATATTTTTATAGTTTTAGGTTTTTATAACTATTTTTTATATCTACAATAACCATGTGACATGATTCATTTTAGTATAATTGATATACTATTATAGTTTTTGTTAATATTTTGAATAAAATTTTTATGTTTTAAATTTTAGTTTAATGTTGTTTTTTGCTCATTTTTATTCGTTTTGTTTTTTTTATTATTATTATTTAATTTCAATTTTAGTTTCGGCAAGGCACATTTATTTATAGATTCAAGTGCTTTACAGAAAAATATTATAAGTTTCATAGAAAAGTTTAAAATAAAAAATACAATAAAATAAATAAATAAAATAAGCATAAATTAGTTAAATGAAACTAAAATAAATGTGTTATTTAGTGCATCAAGTTAAACTAAATGAAAAACAAGTTCATATGTAGATATTCAATAATTTAAGTTTCTATTGATTTGTCAATTTAAAAAGTGATTTATTTTACAACTGTATAATCTATAATCTCCTGCATTATTTATGATCAAGGCTGCTTTGACACAATCTGTATTAAGTGCTATATAAACAAACGTGACTTGACTAGTAAATGATCCTTATTTTCTTAATGCAAAATACTTTTATATTTGATTTAGAGGTGAAATATGACCCAGACATGTTTCAGTGGCATTCACTCACATATAACCAGGCTTATCTTATTAATTACACACGTATATCAAACCTTTACATACATTATTAGAGCATTAATGTGTCATCTGTGCATTAAATACACAACTGACAGTGACAGCGCATTCTCATATCAACAACAATAATACACTTGCTGTATAAACATCTAAACCTGTTTACAAAGCGCCTTTACAGTCTGATGAAGTGATACGGCAAAGCGACGAAACATTAAGAGGAGCTAACAGAGATTAAAAACACACGGATCTACGATCACACAGGCTTTTAATTTTCACCATAATTCATGAACATTGTTCACTGTCAGCGTGTCTTCTGTTAAAGAGACCTAAACAGCAGATTTATTATGACCTACCGATCTAAACACGTGCGTTTCCTGCCGCTGCTCGTCTGTGTTCGCACTGAGTCACAGCGCCGCCTGCCGCTCGGGAGGAACCGCCACGGCAAGAGAACGCATTACAACACTGCCTTTAATACGGATCATTTCTTAACACAGCATCATTAGGGGGCCACATTAAGAAATACACTTTGAAATATGAGAACAAATAGGGTATTTATTTATTTAAGAATGTTTATAGACATGATGTTTACAACTGAAGCCAGTTTAGCCACAGAAATGGGGACTTTTTATCTTGCAATCACAACTTTTTCTCATAATTTTGGGTTTATGTCTCACCATTCTGACTTTTTTCTCTGAATTGCGAGTTTGTATTTTGCAATTTTGGCTTCTTTATATGAATTATGACTTTTTATTTCACAATTTTGACTTTTTTCTTTGAATTCTGAGTCTATATCTTGAAATTATGTCTTTTTTCTATGAATTATGACTTTTTATTTCACAATTTTTACTTTTTTCTTTGAATTCTGAGTCTATATCGTGAAATTATGACTTTGTTTTTATTAATTATGACTTTATATCTCACAATTCTGACTTTTCTCTCTGAATTCAGAATTTAAGCCTAAATCTCGCAATTCTGTTTTATTTTGTTTCTGGCCCGGAATAAAAAATAAAACAGGAAGTTTATAACTCATAATTCTGACTTTTTTTTTCAGAATTGTGAGGAAAAACAACTGAATTGATAAAATGTCATTTTTTTAATCCTGTGGCAGAAACAAGCTTCGTAGTTCACACTGGCTCAAAACTGATAGCTGCGGTTTCATTTGTGCCTGTTGATCTCAGATCGAGTGATTTTAATACAACGAGCCCTTCTGCTTGTTAATACACTGTACAAAAAATTCCGTAAAATTTACTGTAAAAAACGGCAGCTGTGGTTGCCGGAATTTTACTGTAAAAAATACGGTAGCAACGTTTTAGGTTTTACGGTTTTAACTTAAATTTACAGTTAAATACCGTAATTTCATTAACTGATATCACCGTATATAGTAGGGGAATTTACCATTAACCATTTAACAGGTTTTTACTGAAGCATTTTTACAGTCTTTTACCGTTAAATTCACGGTCATTTTTTACAGTGCAGGTTTGCAGGCTGAGGATGCCAGATGTCTGAAACACTTGAGATGGTCGAGCAGTTCAATGTGCCTTGATGAGCCCCTGTCTCATGCATATTTCATTCGGTCCAGATCCCTTCTATTATTGAAAGCAGCCTCAGTGTGACTGACACCACAGCAGCTCCTTTGATGGTACTGTAATTGAAATGTTTAATTAGGACAAACTCTTTCATTCACACAGATTCAGCTCATGCTATAAGAACAGCAAAGGAAAGAAATCACAGAAATTAGATCACATTTAAGCAAAATGTTTGTTTCTACTTGTGAATTTTAGGAGAGTTTTTATTTCAAGAAAACATCCTTCTTGTGATTTCAGGGATGATCTTGTAAAATCATTCAGAAGCTCTAATCAGATTAATGTTCTCCTTCATGCAGCAAAACCCATCCATAATCAATAATGAATGGATTCATGGGATCACGCTGGAGTAGAGAAGCAGAAACCTGTAAATAAAAAGATTATTGGAGTATGTTTTACAATAAGTCTTTCAAAATATCATATTTAATTCAATGTGTTGCCAACTTGCCATTTCTTTGTGATTATTTGTGAAATTTACAAGCAAATTCTGAGTGACAATAGTGAATATTTTAGTATATTTCTCCATATTTAACAGCTGTTTCTTCATAAGAAAAGTCTTGCGTTACAGACATTTCTGTATTTTTTTTTTTTTTTACAGGTATTTACCCATATTTTGAATTATGCTTGTTTCAGGGTTGAAGGAAAAGTCTGTAAACTTAAAGGAAAAGCATTTTTTGCCAGGGCATTATCAGTTTTTCTACAGAATTTTTTCTTACAATGTAAAGTTTAGTCCCATAAACTATGACAAAGTTTACTTATAATACACTCTCAGAAAAAAAGGTACAAAAGCTGTTACTGGGGCGGTACCTTTTCAAAAGGTACACTTTTGTACCTTTT